TACCTTGAGTTCCCCATTTTATGAAGTTTCTTTATTTCTTTATTTATTTATTTGTTGTAGTCAACTTGTTTAGTGTCCCTGTGTTGAGTTTTTACATAATTTTTATAAATTATTTCGCACTATATTTGAAAAATGATTTTCTTACAAAGTTATTCGAATTGTATTTTTATTTATGATATCCGGATTGTCTTGCTCTTTGTCCGTTGATATTTTCTTCAGAACTAATATTGTTTCTTGTCTTTATTATTTTCTCTTATAAAGAAGTAAGACTCAAGCATATAAAATATTGAATAGAGGCAAATGTTTCTTATGTTTATTCTTGCTGCAGACCAACAACATTGCTAAAACCATTTCATTCTCATTATCTTCAGCAACGAAGGCGTTCAATGATTTGTACGGTAAGATGTTCAACTATAGTTTTCCATTCTTATAAATATTTTGTTTAGTTGTTGTAGTCAATATTTTTCACTATCCCTATATAGAATTTTTGACACAACTAGTTAAAAATCATTTTAATTTTATTTGGTAAATAGTTGTCTTGTAAACCTTTTCGTGAATTTATTTTATTATTTTCATAAAATATTTTATGTTTAAAGTGGAAGTTAATGTCTTAAATGATTAGTCTCACCTTAATATATTTGAAGTAGTTTTATATTGTGCCCCAATATGGAATTGTGGAATTATTATCAAAATTCTCTTGCACTTTATACGTCAAATGATTTTCTTAAAATTATTTTCAAATTGTGTTTAATCATTTTCATTTTTTCAATGTTTAAAGTGGATATTAATGTCTTAAATGATTCTCTCTCAAGTTGGTAGTTAATGACATTATAGACATGCTATTTTAACTTCATTCTCTTTTAATTTAGTATTTTTTTCCATTTTTGTGTCTAAGTTTGTGGTGAGGCGGGGATGGGGCCGAGGGGATTTGACCATGATGGAAAAATAAATAAGTTTATATTTTGGTTGCACTGAGAAAAATTGTGTCACTGAACTTTTATAGGATATATTATGAAAAGTTCTATCCTTCAAAATATAGGTGATCCTACTCGTAAAACTTATTTTCCTAGATTTATGTTTTCAAGAAGACTATGTTAAAGATGTTTTTTTTTATTTTCCTTTACATGATATACAATTTAGAATATAACAAGGAGTAAATAATATCAAAAGGGTTTTGTTTTTCCATATTTTAATCAAGTTAGGATTTTTTGGATTTGTATGACATTGATTTAATTATCGAATTGACCTATATAAGAAAAATAACTATAAACACTCTAGATTTTGAGGTTAGCTTATCGGTTTCATGCGAAATAAGATTATGTTTTGCTGAGTTTCCACGACTATATAATTTTTCTAAAGTCAATTTTATGGTATGAATCTTCAAAAGTTTAAAAGTTATGATCTACTGGCAACTTTTTACTATAAAGAGTTTTAGTTATTATCTTTTAAAAAAGTAAACCCATCTTGTCTCCTACCTCTAAAGGAACTGTATCATTACAACTAAAGACACATTTAGTGGAAATAGATTTTCCTCTTCCCGCAATGACATTTAGTTAAAATTGAGTTAATGACATTGCATTAAGAGTCACTAAATCCTTTAGAGGCATTTATATAGAGTGTCACGTATAAATGTCATATTTATTGTTGCTGCAAAATATGATATAGAGGAAATTATATTTTCCTGTTAAATAATTGTCTTAAGTCTTTTATTTTCTGTAGTGTATTAAAATTTAAAAGGATTACTATTTGATACTTTGTTTGTGTTACGTTTCAATTTATAACATCTTATGTTTAATCTAGATTTTTGTTTACTCTTACTTTAATCGAGCTTGTTATTACATCCTTGTGTATGACGTGTGTAGAAGCACAAGGTTACTCATATATTTCACTTGTTTTAGACCTTCCTTTATTGTCTCCTTTTTAGCATGCACCTTATGTATTCTTGAATCTATCATATGAAGAAAATCCAAATAATTTAATTCATTAGGTTGTGTTTAGTGAGTTTTATAAACACTAACACTAGATTTCATGGTTCATTTTCAGGTTCATTGAGAAATTTTCTAAATTTAATAATGCTTGATCATTCAATCTTTATGTAAGCATAATTTCTTACGAAATATCGGATGGATAGATACAATTCTAATACAAAAAATAGTGCCTTCAACTAAACTGAGAATGGTAGGAACTTGACTCCAACTAATATACCTTCAAATGTTCCCGATGGCAGTGAAGGAAATGGAATTAATTTGAATGAACGGAGCAATGAAATGAAACAAGATCAGGTATTTCCATATTTGGAACTTCGCATACTATAAGTGATTTTGTTAGAGGTGTGGGAATAGAGACATCAAAATATCAAAAAGTCTTCCGAATAATACTAGAAGCTCTCTTCAAATGAAAAATTCATGGCATACTCCAACAACTTCATTTTTTCACAGTACAAACTTTCTTGGAGATTCTCGTACTGAGTGATTTTGTAAGTGGTGTCACAAATACTAGTCACATACCATTAGAAAGTCTTCAAAATAATGGTAGAAACTCTCTCCAAACCAAAAACTTATGGAATGATCCAACAACCTCATTTGCTTAGAGTACATACTTTCATGGAAATTCTTGTACTTTGAGTGACTTTGTAAGCGGTGTCACAAATACTGACCTTATACCATCCAAAAGTTTTCCAAATAATGTTGGAATCTATCTTCAAATGCAAAACTTATGGCATGTACCAACAACTTCATTTTCTCAAACTAGACAATTTCAAGGAGCTTCAAATATGGCACTTCTGGAAAATAGTACACATCTAACGTTCATTAATCAACATAGAGGTTTTCATGGCGTCAGTATAGCTGCTTCAAGAAATCAATCTAATTCTTTTACCCACCTTTTTGGTGGTCCAGCTGGATATTTTGGAGAAAATGGATTACAGAACAGAGGAAACGATGCTAATTTCTTGAGAAATATTATTGATCTTTCACCTTCTCTTGTAATCGGGAAAAGTGTCGCAACTAGTTTTTCTTTCATAACATTAATGTGCTCTTTGTTGATAATATCTTCTTCGGTCTTTTCCTTTGTCATATCTCAAACATAATTTTTTTTTACATTTTATTTGGGTGTTTTACCAATTCACTTGGACATGTAGGGTAGCAATTCCAGGGACCCAAGTCACAGGGATAATCCTATTGTTATAGCGGTACGCAACTCTCATACTTTATCTATTCTGATTTTCGTTGTCATTTTGACCTCTTATAATTTTACGGTCGACTTCTTTAATAGTAATATTATATGAAGATGATGTGACCTATGATTTCCACTTTAGTAAATTATGTCCTTGATCCATATTACGCTTGCATGTGTAGCTCAAGTTTCTTTGTCTAAGTATGTCAATATATGTCGATCCTCTTAATTTCCACTTATTATTGTTGCCAAAGGAAATCTTCATATATTGGATATGTTATTTCCTGTCATGCATACCTTTCACATAATTTTTTGTTATGATGCTGAGAAAAATGAGTCTTGCTACTGAGAGTTTTTACTCACAGGATGATGAAGAAGATGAACATGATGATGCTAAAAAATATGGTATGTTCTATGATGTAGAAATGTCATACAAGGTAATACACCAAGGCACAATGTATGAACATGTTATATGATTAGAGTAATTAATCCAATATTTTTTTAAACAATGGGTGATTGTATTTTAGGCGTTTTTGGCACTCCAAGAGCATATCGGTGGCGTTGAAATTGGATTGAACAAGAGTATTATTTCTAAAATTTTGAAGCATAGTAGGTATAAATAAATAAAGATGAAAAATTTTATTAACTCTTGCTGCATTTGCTTGGTAAGCCGCACAACTTTTTGTTTCTTCCCAAATCACTTTTAAGTTTGTTTGCAACCTTGTCCAATTTTGTTCTTTCCTATTTTGGCGTGTATAGGAAACTTATGAAGATTGGAAAATTAATTGTGGACATGAATGTCATTATCAATTCGTCGAGGAGTGGCTGGAAATCAAGAACTCGTGTCCGGTTTGCAGAAGGATTGTTTTGACTTCAGCTAGTAATCTTTGGTTCTCACTTTGATCAACCAATTTCTCGATCCTTTTTTTCAATTGACAGTGTACAAGATGGAGTAGAATTCCTTAATGATAAATTACGATGAATTTCAGTTTTTACCAAAGTGGTAGTAATTTTATTAGCTTCAAGGACTTCCACTTTCTTTAATTTCATTAACAATCTTGTTGGGACATCAAACAAGTACTAGCATTATTAGTTTTGACAGTTGATTGAATTATAAAACTACGATTAATCATTTTCTTGATCATTGAAGATGACAGTGTGTCAAAAAAAAGTATTATGAGTGGTTTATCTATATTTGGGTGAAGATGCTAATAATCAACTCTAGAGATTTCTAACTATTTATGTGTCTCAAATGCCTTATCTAGTAGTGCAACAACAACTCATTGATGTCATTCAAAATACCTGGCAATTCTTGGATAAATGGAGATATTTGAAAAAGGAATAATGTCCGAGTCTAATGTCATTGGCAAGAAACATGTTGTCCCGGAATGCATTAATTCCAATTCTCCCCCTTATTGCATTTGACTAAAAACTTCAATGTCTTCTCGAAGATGATAAAACTTTTAACTTGGAAGTGTTGTGGTGAAGATGTTAGTAAGTTGTTCTCATGTTTGACAATAATTGTAACTGAATTTCGCCTTTCTCTTTTGCTTTTGAATATCTCCTTTTTGATTGAGTTTGATATTGTAAATCCTTTTTATACTTACAACTTTTGTTTCTTTGGGTATACTCACACACTCCCTTGTATTATTTTTATTAATCTTCAAAATTTTTTGTGCCAAGACTTTCTTCCAAACATCATGCTTTATTGCCTCCTTATAATTTTCCTACTTCACACCGGTAAAGTTGCATCTTTGATAAATGTCATTCAATATTTTTGTTCCTTTTGGAAGTAGTTCTTCATTATCTGAATCCAAGATTTGTCCTCATAGAGTGACATCTTCTTCTTCCTTGTTATCTTCTTGATTTGACACATCTAATGATATCATAAAAACATTATCTAGCTTATACTTAATATGTATCTGAGAAAGGTCTTGCACCATGTATTTTTGCTTTAGTAGTTTCAAACCATGAAAATTCAAGTGAAAATTTTTTTCGTGCCAAAGCCATGAATTATCTACAATTTCAATTTTGAATGCATTGTAATAAAATTATAAATGAAATTTACTTTTTATCATCTACACTTCAACAATGAATTGATTTGGTACATTTTATCACAAATCTTGCAATAATTATCTCTAAACACAAGAGAATAGTCATTTTCCATAAATTGACCAACACTAAGCAAATTTTCTTCCAATTGAGGAATAGAAAACACATCATGAATTTGCTTACTGCTCCATTTTATGTTGATTGAAATGGTACCTTTAACTTTTGCGTCAACTAAGGTTCCATTCTCCAATCTCACTTTAGTAGTGATCTACTATTAAATGAGAGAAAACCTTTTCATTTCCGGTCATGTGATTGCTACAAACACTATCAATATACCATTTATTGTATTTTGCTAAAACAACACATTGAGAAGCAAAGAAAAGATGTTCTTCCATTTCATTCTCCTGTTTTTCACAAAAACTTGTTTCTTTTTGTTGCTTGTGTCAACAATCACTATCTATCTGGCCAAAGTTTTGACAAAAATAACATTAGGTCTTGCCTTTGTGCCAACATTTTTCTGCGTTGTGATTAGCCCTTTTGCAAGTTTTACAAAAAAATACTAGTATTTTTCTCACCTTTTTCTTCAACCTTCTTAAAAGAATCATCATGATCTTGCTTTCTTTTTGGATTATAATTCTTCTTTAGTTGATTTTTTGAGAAATTTTTGGAATTCTCATTTTTTTCTGGACGGGAAAGTAGTTTCTTTAGGTTGATCTTCATGAAAAAATACCTTTGTTTCTTACATGCATGAAATGATCCGACTAGTTCTTTCATAGAATACTTAAAAAGATCTTTCATCTCCTCTATGATAGCAACAATGTACTCATATGTTTCATTGACAGTAGTTTGAATCTTTTCCACAACTTGTTTGTAAGAAATTATATAACCATGATTTCTCATTTCATTAACAATATGCACGATTCTTGTGTAATATTTATCTCTTTTTTCAATTTCAATCATCTTAATGTTTTGAAACTCTCTTCTAAGAATTTGAAGATTTATAGTGCGTGTCATTTCTTCACCATACAATTCGATTTCGAGAGACTCCCGTGCTTGCTTTGCAGTCTCAAAATTAGCAATTTTTGCAAAATATGCTCTTAAGACTCCCATTTGGATTTTTCTCAAGGAGTTTGCATCTTGACGATACTTAGCCTCAAGATTTTTCATCTTTGTATCTTGACAATACTTAGCCTCAAGATTTTTCATCTCTGCCGCAGTAAATTCACCATCGTTGTTTCTCTCTTCAAAGCCATTTAAAACAATAGTCCACAAGCATTTAGCTTTCAAATGTGTTCTCATTCTTATCTTCTACTATTCAAAATCAGATCCATCAAAAAATGGAGTAAGAATAACTGAAGAATCATCACCTTCATTTGCTTTGGACACTACATTATTTCTTCACCTAACCTATATTAAGAATGAAAACCTGCTCCTGATACCAACTTTCAGGAAATATAGAAGGAGAATAATATCTTTAGAGAATGTTCAAGTTTTATATAGGCTACTTAAGGCCACTTGAGATCAACTACATCACTATTTATACTACTCAAAATAGAAAATAAAAAGTCCTACACAATTAACTAGATACATATATCACAATTTACTAGATATATGTATTACAAAATCCTAAAAGACTTTTTGAAAAATTAAGAACAATATTGAAATACTAAACATCAAGGTGTGAATGTATTAATTCCAACATATATGAGGGTCCCCACCATTATTTGAGCAGTAAATTTGAGGTGGAGGATTAAATTACTCAGGAGAGCATCATGAGATGGATTCCTAGGCTGACTACAACTAATGTTGAGGCAACATCATGGGCAGCCCACCAACAGGTGCACATCCCCAAGGCATCTTTGACATTTCCAACTAAAGTTTGGTTTGCAGTAGCCCCTGCACAGTTGCGGCCAATAAGGAATGACAACTCCCTCTCTCCCTCGCAAGCTAATATATTTCATTATGGATGGTTATGTATTATATGTTGGGCGGACTATTACTATAGAGATGAGAGATCATGCCCTGAATGACAGACCAAGTCCACCATTTCCTTTTTTGATAAGTTGGAGATTGTGAACTTATTCACATATACCACCAAAAAAGTTGGTGGATGTATACATTGAGGCCACCATGGTAACTTCGATGGATAAAATTAATGATGTGGCCGAACCATTATATGAGTTGAGGGCAGGACCTCAACACCATTAGCGGTGTCACCACATTTATTGGTAGAACCTACACAAGTTGAGGGACCTGGTGAGAATACCAAGCGAATAGCCCATGCAGCTGGGGAGTGTAAGTACATTTATCTCTTTACTAGTCATGTTCATTGAGAGACTTCTGGCTGAACAAAGGTAGCCCAGGTCCACACTATATCAGGTAGTTGGAAAATTACCATGTCTAGAGTCAAGTAATGAGTGTAGAGCAGTGACTGCAAAATAAACTCCAACATGAGATTTCTATGTTGAAGAACCAGATGGAGGTACTCAATGTTTAGCGGAATATGAGGTCCCACTATTCTGATGAAGTAAATCTCTCTATCCTAAGAGGGTATATTCCATATCCTTGAGTACTTGAGGAAAACAATTTCGATGATAAATAATAAATTTTTTGCTTAATATATTCATTAGTATGAAATTTTCAAATATATGAAGCTGACATGATGTAGTCTAATTTCATTTTTTTTTAAATAATTTTTCTTGTGAGATAGATATATGCTTATGAATATATTTTCCTAAAATTTAGAGAATTGTCACGGTTTATATTTTGATTTTCAAGATAAAAATGACTTTACTTATCAGTGATACTTATGCAATCTAGATTGTGAGGAAGTTTGCTTTAAAATAGGTATTATTATATAAACATTACCCTTTTGATTTACTTATTTACTGTTCTTAATATTTGAGTATTTTAGACGAAGAAAAGTTCATATATGACTTGTAATGATGCCACTTGAAGTTTGTTATAGTAGTTTAATTTTTATTATTTGTTTAATATAGCTTACTTTTGTGAGAAAAATAATTTCATTTATGCAAATGTGTGTCTCTGTGTGTGTGTCTATATATATATATATATAGCCAAGTTAACAAGATTTTCTAATTTCAACAAGATCTTCTAAAAAAATTCACAACATATATGTGAAAATAAATGAATTATTGAAAATTTATCATTTACAAAATAAGTTGGATACTCAGTAGTATGGAATAAATATTTATATTTTGCCCCTTCATTTATTTGAAATCTAATAACTTAAAAAACAGTAACATTAATTAAAAGACCAATTCATTGATATAAGTATAAAATTTATTAAAAATTAAATATTGCACATTAATTTTTTTTTTTAGTTATAACATTATATATTCTCTTTGTTATTACTAGTTATTGCAAACATTGTTCATGCTCTTTTATATTCTTTGTTGTGATCTGATAAATTTATAATTATTATATTAATTATTTTTAACTTTCATCTTTTCTTATATTAGTTTTTGATAATAATTTTTCATATTATTATACTATCCCTATAAATGTGATAACACAAATTTGTTTTTTCTTTGAAGAATCATGTTTGGTTGAATAAATTGAAAATCATTTACAGTTATATGAATTATATCTTTGTTTGGTGTAAGATGTACATGTAATTTTATATATTATTTCAGAGATAGAATATATTCCAAATTTTTTTAGTTATTTTCGATAAAAAGAAAATGAAAACCTTACCCAGTTAACGATGAAAAGTAAGACAACTATCTTTGATTTATCTACACAGTCAATTGAGAAGTCAAATAGGAGAGTCAACAACAAGAACATCATCTATTATGCTATAACTTATAAAATAAAAATTAACATACAAAAGATAGTCCGAAAAGAAAAAATTAGTTGATCTCTTTACATGTTCAATTGACATCTAAACAGCTTATCGTGAAATACACGTGCAAAGCATATCTGGTTATATGACAAGATAATATACAAAAAAAAAATCGATTATATGGCAATATTAGTGAGATATGACTAATTACATGATTGAACCTCATCATAATTAAAAAAAATATACATTATTGCATTTAACTACTAATATATATATATATATATATATATATATAACGATCCACATTGAATATTTCCGAAGAATCTGCAATATTATTTTGTGCAAAACTTATTATTCAAATCTCTACTTTAATTTTCTGAATTAATAATAACGTGCAACGCACGTGTCAAAAATCTAGTATAACTACAAGCATGAACCAAAAAAAATTGAATGTTGTTTTACGGTTTTATTCTTTCTATAAATTAAATTGTTATGAAGTATTTAAATATATGATAATATAAGTTTAATTAAAATATTAATGACTTTTAGACTTCCTAAGATTAATTCCTAATTAAATATTTCATTTATTAATATTTGTTATCCATTATTTTTTTAAAACAAAAAAAGAGTCTCTGCCTAAATTGCTATACTTTTCCTCTTCTCATAACTTTTTCTCTAACACCACTCATAAAAAATATAATTTATGTGGATAAAGTATTATCCTTTATGATAAATAACAAAATGTTATAATTTAAATGGTGCAAATCTGCAAAATGGAGACATACATTGATAATATCCTCTTGATTATTATTAAAGAATGACCCTAGCTTCTCAAATTTAAATTTATTGATGCTTAATGACGTGATAATAACTTTAGTAGTTCTTTCTACATGGTTTGATTACTTTAATTTTCTTTTTCATATTCTTCATTTATTTATCATATTTTCAAATTACTTATTCAACTTTTAGACTCTGAACATCCATAACTCTCATCTTTTCATTTTCATAACCTACAAATATTTAAACTAAAACATTAAGATGTCTTTTGATATTCCTTCTATTCTATTGATATAAATTCAACTACTTTATCTAAAGAGCCCCTACCAAGATTATTAGACTGTTATTTTTATTCTTTAGTTACAGTAGATGAAGAACACTCTTAAATTTTGATAGGATATGGAAGAAGTCAATAAGAACTCAGAGACTTATTTACTAATTTTGTACTCACTTTTTCATCTATAGATACATCAGTCTTATAAGAATAATGTCTACGTTGTATTTTTTTTTACTAAAATCTGTTTCTTTTTGTTTGTTTTTTCTCTATTAGACTTCTAATTTAATTACTTTTATGATTTTTTATTGTTGTAAGTAGTTATTCTTATTTTGTAATTGTTATACTTTATTATTAATCATAATTTACATACATACATACATACATACATACATACATACATACATATATTATACTCCTTCCCTCTTTTCACAATGAACGTGAAGCTTCTTTTACGATCAATTCCAGTAACTCGTCATTAGTGGAGAGAAGGGGTCTTTTTCAGCTCGCTTTGATGTGTACCTCTGAGTTGATCTTTTATTTTTGACAAGATTGGTGTTGATCTTTCTCTCTTTGTATGTTTCTAGGTGAACGAACACTGAGACGAAGGATTCTTTTGTCAACAAGGGTAACTTATACCTTTTTTTGTATATCTATTCCAGTCAATTAAATTTACAAAGAGATTGATACCCACCTGAATTTGGATCTTTAAAATTAGGTACTGACTTATCAAACTTTTTAAAGATTTGACACAACATATATTCATGTAATCAATTTGGCATCTACCTCGAACATGAAACTAATTGATCCAATTCAGATCAGGTACACAAAGTTTATGATATTTACTTTCCTTGAATTGTTGAAGATATAATTCATTGATGCTTCGTTTCTGAAGATATATTGTGAAATGCTAGAAATATTTTAGAAGTTATAGAGAAAATTAAACACGGTTATAGCAAAGCATATTAGACTGCCTTATTCTCAAATGAGGATAAATGATTAGTCTTACCTTGAGTTCACCATTTAATTTATTTATTTATTTATTTGTTGTAGTCAACTTTATTTAGTGTCCTTGTATGGAGTTTTTGCATAATTATTAAAAATTCTTTTGCACTATATTTGAAAAATGATTTTCTTGCAAACTTATTCAAATTATGTTTTTATTTATGATATCCGGTTTTCCTTGTTATTTGCCCATTTATATTTTCTTCAGAACTGATATTGTTTCTTGCCTTTATTTTAATCTCTTATAAAGAAGTAAGACTCAAGCATATAAAATATTGAATAGAGGCTAGTGTTTCTTATCTTTATTCTTGCTGCAGACCAATAACATTGGTAAAATCATTTGATTCTCATTATCTTCAGCAACGAAGGCGTTCAATGATTTGTATGGCAAGACGTTCAACTATAATTTTCCATTCTCATAAATGTTTGGTTTAGTTG